GGGGGAATGATAAACCGCCCTATGAATATGAGGCTGCAGCCAGCCAGCAGAGCAGATGACACTCTGGCGTGCATCAGTCGGCTGCATCTCCAGCAAAGCCAAGGAGGTGATTCTTCTGCTCTGCTCTGCTCTGCTCTGCTCTGCTCAGCCCTGGTGCGACTGCGGTTCTGGGCATCGCACTTCAACAAGCACGTGGCAAAGCTTGAGAGAGTCTGAAGAAGAGCCACCCGTAGGATCAGTCTTACGTGGCAGCCCATACGAGGAAAGGCTGAGGGATCAGGGAAAATGCGGCTGAGAGGGGACCCGGTAGCAACTTATCACTATACTGGGGAGTACAGCAAGGGCTCGGTGAGCAACTGTTCAGCAGGGCACCTGAAGGGAAAACCAGGAGTAATGGCCACAAACGCCTGGAAGATCGATTCAGGCTCAACATTAGGAAAAACTTCTTCACAGTCAGGGTGTCCAGACTGTGGAATAAGCTCCCTCCAGAGGTGGTGCAATCGCCTACCCTGGAAATCTTCAAGAGGAGACTAGACAGTCACCTGACCCCGAGTTATCTTTCCTGCTTGGTGCAGGGGGCTTGGACCCGATGGTCTTCCAAGGTCCCTTCCGGCCTTACAATCTATGAACCTAATAAAAAATGTCATTTCTATCCAAAGAACCTTGTTTGCCCTACAGCACACACAGACCAGCAGACTCTCCCTGCCTGAGCAAGGGTGTTTGTGCCCGAGAGCTGCTTGCAAAGAACAATTTTTCCACCCATTTAGTTGGTTTAATAAAAGATACCACATCTACCCAAAGAACCTTGTCTGCCCTCCTCCTTGGGGCCTGATGCTGCTCCCACTGAAGTCGGTAGGAAAGGGTGTGAAGGGCCAAGGAACAGTCCTGAAAGTCAGTAAGAGAGGGTGTGAAGGACCCAGCAGCAGTCCCAAAAGTTAGTAGGAGAGGGTTTGAAGGGCTCAGGAACAGTCCCTAAATTTGGTAGCAAAGGGTGTGAAGGACCCAGGAGCAGTCTTTACTTGGGCTTCTTGCATGAGGCAGTAGTGAGAGAAGAGGGCTCCAGCTCCTTGTCAGGGCTTGGGCTTTGAAATCCAGGTGGACACAGTTCTAGCAAAGGTAAACTTTCTCAGGAAGGCGGTTAGTAAAGCATTGGAACAGGCTGCCCAGGGAGGTGGTGCAATCGCCATCCTTAAAGTTTTTTAAGACCCAAAGAATGAAAGAGTTGGGGGTGGTCCTGCTTTGAGAAGGGGAGTGGACTAGATGACTTCCTGGGGTCTCTTCCAACCTCTGTTTTCTATGATAACCCCTGTTGGAAAAAAACAAAACAAAACACTTAAGCAAGAGCTTGAGTGTATCCCTGTTTAGGGTAGCACCTCATCAAGGGGTGACCAAGAAAATGAAAATGCAACTGGAACCCAGTAATCATACCCCTGCCAGCTAATGCAGGTAAGAGCAGGAGGAAAGAAAAGCTGAAACCCTTCAGCGATCCTGGTGAGTTGTATGAATAATGTAATTGACGTCAGCTATACAATCAAAACCCTAGGCTTTTACCCTGAACACATTCATGCCTGCAAGTAATTACATACGCAAGTAGTCCTGCTGATATCAAAGACACTGGTCACTTGTGCTGCTCCTGTGAAGATGTTTACAGGATAGCAGCTTTGGAGGCTGATTCAGGGAAACATCCTCCCTCAGGAAAAGTAAATTATCAGAGCTTTAACTCCCATTTAAGTCAGCGTGTTAAAGAAGTACAATGTCTGCACCGGTGCTTTCTTGCCCACACTTAACTAGGTTTCCATACTGGGACCTTAGTTTGCTTTTGCTACAAGTGGTAAGAATCAAGCTAAACATTGTTTAATGTTGTTACTTTCATTTTTACGTTAATACATTTTTATTAAGTTTTACAATGCAAATACATTCACAAGAATAACATGGGCACAGGTTGTTGTTACTAATAATCATGCCTAGCACTTTTCATGTTCAGATCATTCAAAACTACACAGCATTCCTGCCAGGTAAAAATGATCTATATCTATTCTATACATAGTAATTTAAGGATCCGAATTTTGAAGTGAATTCTTCAGAGAAGAGATCATAAAAATGGAAGTTACGTGAACACTTTTTTCTAGACAATTGGGCAGAATTTAAAACTTTATGTAAGAATAGGGATATAAGCTGATGTAAACATGCAGATACGTACCATTCCATAACAGAAGTTTTAGTAGGGTTTCCTGAAAGTTGTTTAGCATTTACTATGTGCTATGCCTGATTATACTGTTAGTTTTCCTCTCACTCTTTAAAGATGCTTACTGTTAATTGTTTAAAACACTTGTTTAGAATAGTAATCAGGGCTGAAAAGGTTGGGGGATAAAAGACGGAATAAAAATGTTGAGTGACATTTTAAAATAAGTATATACTTATACACACACACACACACTTGACCTTTTTCCTTTCTTTTTATATAACTTCTTTTACATTTACTTAAAACTGCTTCACAGTTAGTGTGTTAGCATTAGTGACTGTACAAATGTGCCTTTTGAATGGATGCAATGAGCTCTTGTTTGCTTGCTTTGCTCTTCAGAATTCAAAGGTGGGTTGCTTTTTTGGCTTTTGCCACCTTTTATTTCTGAGACTTTTTGTCAGCTGGTGAAAGCCAAAGTTAGCCTAGCTCGGTGTATCTAGGTTTGACTTAAAAACTGGCTGAGAATTTAGTCCATTATATACAAAGCAAAATAAACAGCAAGAACAAACTCCAGCTGCTAAGAATTTGAAAAAACTTTTATTTACATGAAATTGTTTGCTTTTTGGCATTCATTGTAACCGAGTTTGAGAGTCAGGAACACATTAAGTAACAAACTATTACTGATAAACAAGTGAAAAATCCTGGAAAGCTTTAAAAAAATATTTTATCATTGTATGAACCTATTATTAAATAATAATAAAAACATGGTAGCCTGCATCTTGCTTTCTGAACTAAACCCAAAAAAGGACATTTCTAAAAGTACGCATTATATATTTAATACTTTGACAAATTAGAAATATGTTGATGTCCAAAATTAAGTGTATTGGGCTCAGCACAGATTTCTTTAGTACTGGAGATGCCGACATATTTCATTATGAATTCCTCCAGGTACAGGGATGCAAGAAGTATTTTTGGTAATCTCTGTTGTTTGGCACTTCTAGCCAGGTGCCATTTTCTAAAATGTAATTGTCTGATATTTTTGCTAATGCTTCTTTTTTGTCTTGTTGCTCTTAATATTTTTTACCTTTTCAGTGACATATCCTGGATTATAGAAATAGACTGACTACTATTATTTGACAGATATAAGTCACTAGGAAAACTGGATTCAAGATTAAGAGTCAGTTTTATGGGAAGACCACCTGGAAACTGCATTTGTGGTGTTCAGTAGACATGTTGGCACTAGCATGGTTTCCTAGGTGATATTTCACCAGATTTGCAACTCCTACCACTGCTTTTCCTGGCACATGCACATATTACCAGTACCAGAAAAATGTATACCTGGTAATAGAAATGCATTGTAACTTTGTCATCCTGACAGATGCATGTTCTCTCTTCCTTGTTCTCCTGGTCTCATAACACTTGTACTTCTGGCTACCCAGTGGCTGAGCCAGAAGAGGAAGGATGAAAGGTTCTTTCTATACAGCCTATTCTATAGCCTATGATTAGGGCACTCACCTGGAAAGTGGGAGAAATGGTTTTGAGTCTTCTCAGGGTAAGGAGGGTCTAGAACCCAGATCTTCCATTTCCTGGGGAAGTGCTGTAAACACTTGTGCAAAAGTGGACCCTGTTACCATGATAAGCACCAAGCTTCAGTCTCAAGATTGTTCTGGATTGCAAGTGAACAGAGATGCCTAAAGTTCAGAGTCAAGCATGTAAGTCCTTTGAGGGACAGAAGTCCCTCTGCTTAGAATTTCTTCTTGGCTACCTCTAGACACCCCTAGTCTTTCTGAATCAAATTTTGGTGAACTCTCCCCATTCTCCATATAGAGCACATAGACACCTAACCCTGAATTGTATTTTTAAGGCATCTGAGCCTCATCATTGACTAAATAAGGATCTTGTATGCCAAAATCAAATTGAATCATTGTCCTGGATACAGCACCCAATGGCTTAACTCTAGGCACTTGTGAAATGATGGCACATGACATTCAGTCTTCATGATGTCATCTGTGATGGTTATTCAAGGTACACCACTCAACAGAAGGGTCAAAAAAGAATTTGTAAGTGTAGGCTTCAAAGGCAGTTCCTTCCCTTTCACAGGTGTTCTTGTACAATGGTACAGTTAGGTACACCGTTACATTTTTAAAAAATGCCTGTGGAAAAACACCTGAAGTATTTTAGTCAAACATTATGAGAAAAGCAAAATTCAATTATTAAAAGCTACATTTTAAAAATATATTAAACTTCATGTATCTTTGCTTATTACATAATGAAAACATGTACTTAATATATTTACTATTATAATACATTTATACTTAATAAGACTTTGAACAAAGAAAAAATAAATAGATGTTTGAGGGTAAGCTGATTAACTGTGATAATCAAACATGAAGAGGTACATAAGTGTTGTTATTTTATATTTTAAGTATATAATATAAGTACTACTATTATATATAAATAGTCAAATGAGATGAAAGGTTCTCTCAGAGATCAATGTTGCAGCAAAATTGCTACCTCAAATATAATTTCTTTATTCAGGTAAGGATAAAAGTAGATTAGGGCTCGGTCCTGTTAAGTACACTCAAACTGTAGTCCAGCACTAACCTTAAGAAAACTTTTAACTTTCAACATCTGAATAGTTTCATTGATTTCCTGAACTTTTCAGAACTGGATTTTTAGTTCATTGTACCATTTAGTAAATGACAGCTTTGATGAGTACGAAACTACTGTCCTAGATTATTTTCTGGTTATGGAGACTGAAAATTAACTGAATGACATGATTGATGTTGGTTTTATTTTGGGAAATAAGATTCTACATAACAAATCATCCACACTCAATTATTTAGCTACCTGAAGTAGAAACTTTTGTTTCAATGGCAGGTATGGACTTAAAGGCAGATATGAAAGCTAAAGAAAAATTAATTATTTGTAACCCAGCTTCAATTCACATCCTGGAAAATTATTAGCATGAAAGAGAGCCAGGTATTTGTAAACTTTTAAATAGCCATCTACTGAGATTCCTAGAGCTTAGAAATTAATGCAGTAAGTTTCTTTTTAACTCCCCAATAGAGTGGCAATGCTAATAAACTGGGTGAATTCACTGCTAGCTTTGCTGACATTTAGAAAGAAATAAACTACTCATATTTCTCTGATAGACACTGCCATTCTGCCACAGACTAAATACCTCTTTCTCTCTTCTAATTTCCAATTACCATCTCTGGAATAGACTTGGATACAACTGATGAAAAATTGTTTGCGAGAACGGACTTTGAAACTGATTTATAATACTCTAGTTTCCAGTGTTCTGCTTCCTCTTGGCAAAGTATCTCCCAATGAATTATGAAAATTGTAGTTCAGTTCACTACTTTTAATATGAACAGTTGAATGCTCATTACATAAACATTTTGGCAGAACACCCAACAATTTTCATTACAAAAATGATGAAAATAAATTATCTGGTAATATATCTGTTAGTTGTTTAAAATTATAGTATCCATCTATCTATCTGTCTGTCTGTCTACATATAGGTTGATTTTTTTTTAAGTAGCCTGTGAAATTAATCTAAGGGGTGCTTTTCAGTGTTGCACCTTTGGGCGTAGACATATGTACATTTGGAGTCCTTTCATAAGAGGAAGGTTTCAAAAGGGTAGCAGCTGCTAAGTTCTAATTGTTAGGTGCGAATGAGCCAAAAACAATCCACATGTAGCAAAACCCACTCTAACTTTAACCCTGCTTCATCCAGGGTTAAAGCTGGAGCTACATATGAGCCAGAATTAAAATCTGAATTAAAGCTTTCCTATGTGTGACTCATTCTCAGCTCATTCACAGATCACAATTAGAAGTAACCCCTACTGCCCTTTTGAAATGTTCCCTTTTTGAAAGGGCTCCAAACGCATGTGTATGCACACCCTGAGAGATTGTTTTCTGTGAGGAAGCCCAATTGTTTTTCATGATAAATAAGAGGGAGAGCCTATGCAAGATTATCTGAGTTACAAGAATTGAGATTTTTTTTTTTAGTGAAGTATAGCAGTGTAATGCAGTCAAGGCACAATA